AAAAACAAAAAACCCAAACATCATCAAAGCTTCACACCTTGCTTGCCCTGGCAGATTAATTCCAAGTCGCAACGCTGCAGAATAAACCCATCTTAAACAGACAAGAATAAGATGTATCTTGTGTTGGCCTTGCTTACCATCTAACGCCTGATGAGTTGAAAATCTACCTGTAGCTTCACTTGAAACAGCTGGTCAAACAACCAAACTTGTCATATTTAAAGCAAAACCCTAATACCAAATAAAGACGTTCCTACTTTCAACATAGACAATTTATAGCTGAAACGCTGACACCAAATATTCACTTATGGGCTACAGCTATGATCTGACAAGCACTCCAGGCATCTGCTTGTACACTTTTGCCAATCCCTGGATTGAATACCATTCTCCTCCTTGAACTCACAATTTCCTCAGGGGGGTGTCAGGCACTTACACATCTCTATGACATGGACAGCTATTAAATATGACTCAACTCTACACTGACTGCTACTAATTCTTCCACTATTAGTCTGTTCATAGCAAAAGAGACAAATGTGCTTGTTTTACTGCAACTTTACGCTTGCAGCAGGAGTGCCCAAAATATTTCAGAAGCAGCAAAGGAAGTCTAAAGACATATTAAAGAAGATTAAAATACTGCTGCTTTGGAAGTAGCAGATATCGCTGCAGCAATATTGGGGTTATTAGTGCCAGATTAGCATATATAATTAACAACTGAGAAAAGGCTTCAGAAGCTAACAGTCAAATCACTGATATGACATTGAAGATCAAAAGTAAAAATACATGCAAGTGGCAGGGTTTTATGGTGCAGATAATATTGTCAAGAAATAAGTAAATTATAATCTGTTAGGTAGCACACAGGGGGTGTGTCGCAGGCTGTGTGTAAGGATGTGCGTAGAAGAACAGTTCAGGCACTTGTAAAACACTGAGCAAGAACCTCCTCATGTCTGGAAGCAGCATTACCCCCCTCCCATCTCCCTTATCTACAGAAAATTTATTGTACCACAATTCAGAGATGTTTAACATGTAGGAAATCTGCAAATTAACAGGTGGTTATAAGGAACAGGCATGTTACCTTTTAATGGGCAATTTGAAATTTTCCTTCCTTCTCTAGGACATACACTCTGTATTAGGCTGTGCTCTGGAATATTTTTATGATTTTTTCTTAAGATTTATCAGTTTGAATTAAAAAAACATTAACACACAAGTGGCAGCCAGCTGTGAAAGAGAATCTGACCCACTTGCACTGTAAGACATCAGGGATGCACTCTCAACTGGCTGTTGTTCCTCATCACTGCTCAGGCCACTACCTGGACACTGTCTCTTCAATGGGAAAAAAAAGACTACAGGGTTAAACAGTTTTACACGATGCTTCTGCTATCTGAAGATGGTCCTGCGTATCAACAAGTTCTTCCAAAACTACACTTGCCACCTAAATATCCTGATAAAGTATGTATTTTTTAATTCAAAGACAAAATGAACTGTAGAAAACTGCAGAAAAAAGATACAAGTAAGCTGGAAGTGCAGTGAGTGTACTTTTCACTGTGATGCTTTCTCAAGACGAAAAAAGTGGAGACAGGTGGATTCTTATTTATCTACGTAGCCTTGAATGTGCACCTGAGACACTGGGTACAGAATCCTTAGTAGTTTAATTCTTTGTCATGTGCAAAGAACTACTGATATGGTAATGCAGACATCATCAAAAATGCTATGTCAGGACCAAGTAACCGCTCCTCCACCACCTACTGAATTTACAAAACTGGTTTAGATTAAATCATATTTTGGGGAATTCAAATTATTGTTCTGTTTTCATGCATATAGAAGAATACTCAGTTTCACAAACTAGTTTTTTTCTGTTCAAAAATGCTTGGATACCAGGTGCACTTTGTGTTTGCTTTTGCGTTTATGATTTTTCAGTTTTGAAAGTATCAGCCCTCCAATCTCTCAGCTAAAATAACATGCTCAAATTTATGAGTTACCCAAGTAACCCAGAGCCTGAAAAGTATTAAGGCAGATTACCTGTGAATTCTTACAGCTAGGGAGCACTGGCTGTTCTGTGGTGAACAGCAACAAGCAACTTGACCAATCTTGCTGCAGTAAGACTTCCCTGTAGAGAATTCCCATGCTTGTATTTGGCAACCATAATATGCATTCATGTTGTCTTATGGAAGGAGTAGTCTTGCATACCAACTGTCTGTAGATTACAATCTTGATTTCAGAAAATACCGATTTGTAGTTAAAGTCTACTTACCACCCACGCTGTTTTCCTCAGCACCTTAAGGGGAACAGAATTCCTTACACCAACTATTTCTTCTTTCTTTCAAGACTGTGATTTATTTAGATTATCTTAATGTCTAGGAATTCCATTTCTATACTTCATGGTGGCAAATACTGAACAACACATTATTTATTGATCTGTTCGACACCAGTAACACTGGAAATGGAAACAAGTAACTTCTGTCATTTCTCTTACTAGAAACCACACAGCCAATTGCATTTTACATGGAAATACAAACTGAGGAGAATATAGCTGGTACTGTTCTAGATGACTGGGTTTTGGCTGTAGGTCAACTGTATTCCAGCCCAGAGCCCCAGATTCCCCTGTTGCTTCCTGAACTGTTCTTGTCTTTGAGATAACTTATTAATGGATGAGCATATGCACAAATAGGTCATTTTCCGTACCCTAGGGCTCTAGAAAAACTGTAAGTATCTCACTGGATAGGAGTGTGTTTGCAACAACCATGTAACAAAGCTGCTTGTTAGCCCATTGAAGTTTCGTGTGACTCGCTAAGTCCTTGGACCAGCTTTACTTCATTTATTGTTCCTAGCTCATGATGTGGTTTTGGCACCAGACAGTTGAAAAGCTAAGTCCAGAAATCAAAGTTACAGAAAACTAACTTGCTGAAGGCAAGGCCTGATGAACCAACCTTTTGTAGCAAAGCACACAAACAAGAACTTAACCCAAAGCATAAACAAAATAGCAGCCAGCGGTGCAGGGGAGAGTAAAGTTTAAAGAAGAAACACATGGAAATGAAGCAGATTTCCAAAACTGGCAATTCTTTCTTTGGGTTTTCAAGATAAAGGCTCAAGAACAAATCCCACTTCAGGAAGCCTACTAATTGCAAGCAAAAGAAAGTTGGAGACGCATTACTTATTGGAGTGGGAATGAGCCGCGGCATCAAGAAATCTCATGCTGCAATCTGCCCTGCCAGTGAACACATCCCGCCACAGGCAGGTCTGTTTTACCCCTGTATTTGTCTTCTGAGCAGCAAAATGAGAACAGGGAGACCTCATCCTACCTATTTTGGGAAAGATCCAGAAGATGAAAAGTACCTTAATATTACAAATGTGTTCTCAAAGGCTTTGTCAACTACAGTATGTTCAGCAAAACTTTGATCTAAAGCAGTGACAAAGTCCATCTAATCAATGCTCTAATTCCATTAGCTTCTCAGCAAAAAATGTGAATGCCACGTGCATGGATGCCCCTTTTCTCCATGCCACTGAGGAAACCATATTGCAGACTGGCAGGAAAGCTCTAAAACCAGATTTTTCATAAGTTGTTGCCTGAGGCAAGAAACCAATCAGCAGAACTATAGTTGGATGACTGTGTTTCCTTAATAAACTTTGATTAAAACTTGCCTGGAAAGTCCACATGCCTGTCTACTTGCCCTAACCTTCCTGAAAATTGATTTAGGGAATAGGGAAGTTTTCATCTTGCCCAAAGAAAGTACAGTTTGCTGCCCTACCTTTTATTATCTTACTCTGTCTACTAGCTGGCCATATAATGTATCTACCAAAGACTCAGGGGGTTTGTGTATGAAGACATTTACAGACAATCTATCTTCACATAACAACCATGTGCTGCAGCTTTTGAATGCCTGTGATCCTCAGAGGATGAAGGAATCTAACACAATGTCCCCTTGGACAGCACGAACAAACAACTTCCCACACTACCTCAAAAAACCCGAAAGATTACCAGACTGTAACTTCATACACCAAATATATGTTGCATAAAGCCCTCACAAAAAAATTACATCTTTTCCCAATATACATCTTTCCAATGGCACAAAGAACTAACAGTGGAGTACAACATGGACTAGATAGGAAATGAGGGAAGAAAGGCAGAAAATGGTCTTGCATTTAAAGGATGAAGAATTTGGATGGGGTGACACTGCAATAACGGAAGGAACAGAAAATGAGGCTTCAGTGACAAAACTGCAGACCTCAAAGTACCAGAAATACGATAAAAACTGCAGCAGTCGAGATTATCTGTGTGTCACGGCAGATATCAGTGGTCCTAAACGCATCACAGCATGACTGAACTTCTCCACAAGGCAAATTCTCATGAGATAGAACACTTGCTAGCAAAAAAACACCAACAAAACAGGTTTTAAGCATGGTATCAGTGCACATACAGCCGAGAATCATCTAATCTCACAACTGGTGCTGAAAACAGCCCGGCACAGCAGCACAGGCCACGTTCAGCACCAGCTGCTCACGACAGATAATTTCCCAACTGCACGTTATCCTCACCTACCTCTACATATAAATGCCCATCCTGGTTTCCGCAGCACCTCAGCACTGTGGTGATGAAAGGGGATTTATTTTACCCTGCATCAACACATTCCCAAGGGACAGCATGAGGAATCCCGTGCCAGAACACAGTCAAAATGCGTGCTGCATTTATCACACACTGCTCAGTGCATTCAGAGGGATCAGATTGGTTTGCCAGCCTGTAACTGGTATTTTGGACATTTTTTACTTAATTTATTTGGGATGGGAACGTATTTCCTACTCACGCTGTTCCAAAACAGCCCCCCCCTCCCCTCCCCCCCAAAAAAAAAGAACAGCAGGAAGCCAGTGTAGTGCAGAAGAGATTGTTCATCTCCTACAAAGTGATGTGCTTAAAGGCAGCTGGCTGTTCCGGCAGACTTATGGGGGAAGGCAATGGTGAGCACAGATCCACGTGGGGCAGGCAGGACAGCAGAGGGTCTGCGGGTACTTACAGACACAGAGACAGGCCACCAACTTGGCAGCCTCGTCGGGCACAGGGCAGGTGGGGAAGACGGGCTTGAGTAGGTAGGTGGCGAAGACCAGAGCCACGATGTACTGCGATGAGGGCCGGATGATGAGCAGCTCTATCCAGAGCTTGAGGAAAGCGGGCAGGGAGCCGTACACCTCCAGCATGTAGGCATAGTCCCCGCCGGACTTGGTGATGGTGGTGCCTAGCTCAGCATAGCAGAGGGCACCCACGATGGAGAAGGCCCCGCAGACGGCCCACACCACCAGCGACAGCCCCGGCGAGCCGGCCTCCCGCAGCACGCCGGTGGGGGTGACGAAGATGCCGGAGCCGATGATGGTGCCTACGATGATGGCCACGCCGTTGAGCAGCGTGATGGAGCGCTGCAGGGTCACCCCCTCGCCCTCAGCCGAAGCGCATGGCGAGGGCGAGCGGGCGCAGCCGTTCTCTTGCGCCCCGCCGTCCGCCGCCTCCAGCATCTTCTCCATCACTTGCTTCTCCTCTTGCTGCGCCAGCGAGGAGGCCGAGCCCGCCGGGCTCCTCTTCTTCACCGCGCTGTTGCTGCTGTTGCCGCCGCTGCCCGACATGGCGGCACGGTGCAGAACGCGGACCGGAGACGGGCGGCAGAGCGAGACGCGGAGCGGGTGGCGGAGCGGCGCGGCGCTCCGCCGGCACCATGCAGCCGCCCCTTTTGTTCCGGTGGCGGTGGGCGGCGTGCGCTGTGAACCTCCCGCCTAGGCGGGGAGCGGGGACCGGCCGCCTTTCCGGGAGGAGGAGAAGGAGGAGAGGGAGGAGAAAGGGAGGTGTTGCAGCTTGCGCGGGCAGCCGCGGGGTTCGTTCTCCCCAAGTGACCAAAGAAGCGTGGCGAGGCCAAAGCGCTTCTCCCTCTTTCCTCATCCCCCAGCGCTGCGGTTCCTCGCTATCAGAAGGAGGTTTGTGACCGCTCCTTCTCCTGCCCAGACTGGGCTGTGTGCTCCTATGAAGGAGAACGGTCTGTGCATGTGTAAACCTAAAATACAGCAAAATCCATGTTTCCCCATTACCACGCTGTCAGCCCCACCTGATTTCAGTGCACTTGCTGTACTCCCTCCTCTTGTACACAATCACAGGCCAAGGCACTGTCACTGCATCATCTGCATTTCTGCAGACACTGCAGAAATCCGCCTGTCATTTCGGACACCGAGGTCACAAAGGAGATAAATACAAATAAATAAATTCACCAATCTGCCAAGCAGGCAAAAGAACTTATATTGCACTACCTCAAGTGAAGGCAGAGGGTTTGCATCCAAGGAGACTTAACTGGATGCTTCACAGTAGTGCCTAAGGAGCCAATCCCTTAGCAAATTTCAACTCCTTGTCCTTGTGGGATTCAGGGGCTAAAGGCTGGAAGCCCTGATTCTCAGTGATTGTTCCCAGTGAGAGGTAGAAGTGGTACCTTGGAGGAGGAGTGTCTCAGCAAGTGGTTAGTTGGTGTCACACAAGTTGCGCCCAAGCTCTGGAGCCCAAGGCTGGTGTGTCCATCCTCCCTGGACCATCCTCTTCCCTGCAAGCCTCAGACATGCTTCAGTACTGACAGCACGGTGTGTTTCCTGCAAGATACCTTGGAGAAATGCACGATATACATTCTGGGGAAAGACTGAGCATTTTAGCAACATTTTCAGGTACCTGGCCCTGGTAATTGGCATCAAGACCACTGCCAACCATGACAGGGACCTCTGAAGCGCTGATCAGAACCTGACACCTGGTGGCTGGTAGCCCCAACAGCCCAGAGGCCCGAAGCTGCTCACTGCTTCTCTGGTTATATCAGCACCCGTACTGTGGAAGAAAGCTTAAGACAAAAATTACCTTTGCATAGAGCACGTTTTTTCCGATTTTTAGGGAGATAAATGGGATTCTGAAGAGATTACAAAGACTATGGCAATAAATTAAAAAAAAAAAAAAAATGCAAAAACTCTTCATCACACCATTTTCCCAAAGTCTTCTTTTAGCTTGCAAGCTTAACATTAGCCTTAACACAGAGGCAGGACAGCTGTAACCTAACCCGATTATTTCTCAATGTAAGATTTACCAACATTTACTTGTTACTGTATTTCATACTTTATCCTAGGGAAAAGGTTCATAGGACCATAAAAACTGGACAAAAAAAAAACACCAAAAAAAAAACCCACCCCAAAAAATGCAACCCCAGGTACCTACCCATATCCAGGATATGGACAGGATTGGAACGAAAATATGATGTATGCTTCAGAGATTTTAGGATGAATGCTCAAACTTTTATAGTTGGGTGAACAAAATTGTTCAATGGATTTACCTCACTAGCCCTCTACACGAAGTTCTTCCCATAAGGCAAACTAACCGTTTGAGGATTGGCATTTTACACCTCATAGTAACCTAATTTACAGAGCTTTGCATTAACTTTCCCAAGAATGGGACCAAGTGACCTTTTTCTTCCTGCATCCAGTTCCTCTGAAAGGGAGTTTCTTAACAGACTGACAATTAAGAATTTGCAGGCTTCAGTCTCAGTTTTGCCACCATTTCCACCTGGAAATTCTGAGGTAAGTAGCAGTGGAGCAGCAGCCACTGAACTTCCATATTTGAAGTCAACCACATACTTGACTGTCTTGCAAATTAATCCATCGGCGTTAATTCTGCAACCGTTTCTTCATTTGTACTACTAAGGAAATACAGCCACGGTGTTAGGGTGTGTTCACATAGTGCTTTGTATCTTCAAAGCACTTCACAAATGCTAAGTATTATTATTTGTTCTAACCATGAACATTAACTCTCTTCAGGCCCCCAAGTTATTCTGCAGCATCTTTGAAGACTATTGGATTATACAATCAGTTCTCCATATGCTAATACTCAGGCACTTCAAGTTTGTCACATCAAAAAGAAAGCAGGAAAGAATTATTTGTCAGAAAGACAAATAATTGCCAGTATCAGAAGTAAATTGGCCATTTGTTAGAAGTAATGTGAATGTTCTTAACCATTTATCAGAAAGCTGCCTTAATCAAAATTAAGACAGCCTGCTGGAACCAAATAACCCATTTCTTTACCAAACGTCTCAGCTATACTAATACTAGCACTTACAAGGTTTTTTGTTGAGTGCATGGGAAGAGAAGGAAGCTTTTAGAATCCTTAAATAGCAATAAAAGTGGAGCTGGCCTCACTATTAATCTGTGCCGCTCTTTTTTTGATACTGAAATGGCTTTGCCTATCACAAAATGTTCCAAACAGCACGGTTTGGGAGGCCATATATAATAGTATTGTCTACAATTATTTCAGGAGGGAGTTTCCTAACCAGGAATGTAATCTACTTTTCCCATCAAAATAAGTGAAAACATATTTGAATGAATTCAGCTAAGCATTTCCATAGGATAACTAGACTTCAAGCATGGCTGAGCAGCGAGACAGACCACACTCATTTCACCTGATTAGCCAATCCTTATCACTGAAAGTAACTTATTTTACTCAAAGGTTTTGAGGGGGTTATTTGCCAAAATGCTTGTAGCCACAATCACTAAAAATGAAACTACACACATCAAATCAATGCTTAGTTTTATCAAGACTGATCAGACAACAGAAAAAGGAGCTTAGTTGACAGGTCGGGTTTAATGATCAGTGGCAAATGAATGAGTTCAGCAAATATCCTCAAAATCCGGAATGCCATTTTAGATGGCATGCTGCATCTGGCTGAATGTAAGAAATAATTAAATATGCTCCCATCAGTACAGCGGCAACAGAGGGGTCATTGTTCTTTCATTCCAATTATAATACAGTTCAGCAGAGTCTTTCAGAGCTTTTAAGTATCACAGTGTCTGACATCTGATTAGACTCCACTCCTAATGAACCAGTTCATTCTCAGGGGGAATTGTATTATTTTCTTGACAGAAAATCTACTTTTTAATTTGGAGATCTTAATTACACAACGAGATGCAGGCACAGGTTTCTCTTGTGTTTTTTATTGCACAGTTGCACACTAATGTAACAGTTCAAAATCCAGCAGCTACAAGTTTCTTTACATCAGGTAAAAACTAAGGGAAAAGACCTGTATCCTAAGAGAACAAAAAGCATTCCTTACATATGTCATCTGCAAAGGCAATTATTTTAGTAAATTATGATTAGTCAGGTAACATACATTACAATACACAATGTAATAACTGCCACGAAAACAAGGTGCATACAGAAAAAAGCAAAGATGTACCAAGAAATACAAGTTAAGACATTCAAAATTAAGGTATGCACATTTCAAAGCAAATATATTAACTATGAAGTTGAGCAGAAAAAGGGACCCTTCCTCAAAAGTAAGCCGTGTGGGATTCCAGTGCTGTAAACCCCAGTATATTTTCATGAGATCAAAGCAATCTCTGTTTCTACAGCTTCCAGAGCCAGAAGACAACTCTCCTGTCAGACTTGCAGTAAAAATATCAAAGCAAGCCATTCATAACAAAAAAAGCCTGGTCAGGTATACCTGGTGGTATAACTGTGTTTCACTGTGTGAAAATTCCAGAATATTAAATGGATTAAACATTCAGTGTTAAAATTCTGGAATGGAGGAACATGGATTAAATATTCAAGTGTTTAATCAGAAGTCACTAAGAATGAGACTTCTGATAAGAATGACATTGAACAGAAAGGCAGCTGGAAATCAGGCCAACAGAGAGGCATATCTGCACTGAAAAACCTTCTACTGCCTTTTCAGTAAGCTGTCCTCAAAACTCTGTTATATTCCTTAATTCCTAGCACTTCTTGCCACAGGAATGTCCCTCAGACAGTACTGAGTAACTATGAAGTGACTACTATGCAAGGACAAGTACATATATGTGCTTTGACCCTTTCATATTGTACCATCTAAAAGAGCTGGGAGATGCCTGTGCAGACACCTTTCAGAGATTAACTTAATTTTGCAAAATCATTACAAATATTAGCTCCAGTCCAACAACCAAATCAGTATCCCTTCCAGGCAACTGAGAGAGTAAGTCGAAAGAACGCTATACCATCTCATGTGCAGGCACATATAATTCTTGCAGTTAATTTGCTGGGCAAATACAATCATTGTATAAATGAACATAAAAGCTAAAAAAAAAAAAACAAAAAACAAAACCAAAACCAAACAACAACAAAAAAAAAAGACTCTAAACACAGCAAAATAATTGTAACAGAAAATCCCTGTAAAGCTTATTTTTGTAGCACAGTAAATGTTTTTTCTAGGTTGTCCCTGTATTCAGGTATTTGTGTTGAAACTGAAATTGATTTATGTCAGTATACTCAGATGTGATTTTCTCTAACTATGTATGGAGAACAGCTTATCAACTGCATGACTGGATAATGCACCTATTCTCAAAAAAAAAAAATCCACAATAGTTTAAAAGCAAATCTCTATGAGAATTTTAAACAGATCACTGAAAACAGACTGTTCTACATCATCTGTGATGGATGCATGGTGGTGAGGATGTTAAAAAGATTTACACACCTAGGAAAACAATTTAATTCAGTGGAACAAACCTAACTATTGAGAACTCAGTTGGGTATGAGCAAACCACAGCATTAACAAGCATTAAACATTCACACTGTAGCAGTTCCCTAAGAACAAAGTATGTATTTTGTATCTGCATATGCTAAGAAAGTGATGCTAACCACTGAAACAAGCTCAGCGGATAAAAGGTACAGAAAAACTTTGGAAATTACCAAGGCAACTAAAAACTTTTGAGCAATTGCATGAAGTTTTTTAAGACCCATTCATGTATGACAGGGATATTGATGCAGGCTACCTACAGCTAGCTTAGGGCTGCTGAGTCACCTGCATTTTTAAATGTGAAAGCAACATTAAGATGTCTTCACATTACAGTTTTTCTAACTGCTAATAATGAGTAGCAAAAAATCTCACAGATAGACAAGATATATGCCAGCTCTGAATCACTGCCATATTTTTATAGGATCCTCCTCAGAAAAACATTTGCAGGAACAGCGATGAAGAAAAAAACCTCAAGCTTAGCAATGTCTAGAATATGTACGTTCAGGAAGAAAGTAAAAGAATTCTTTCCATACTGGCAGAGCTGTAAATATCCCTTCCAAAATTATTTTGGAACCTATCATTCTCTGACAAAACCATCACTGATGTGATTCATCAGACAAGGAACATAGTAAAAAGTCTGATGATGCCAAAGACTGTATAGTTCAACCATTTGGTACAGATGGTGTAGTTTGACAAGAGTTAAGACAAGATGGTAAGGTTCAACTAAGAGTAAGGGCTTGCAAGGGGTAATGAAACTGAAGGTACACTGCACAGTAAATACAAATTGGAATAGAAGGGAGATTTTCTTACATTTACCATGTAGAGTCAGTCTAAAGATAAGTGGACACATTTCAAATTGCCAAGAAGAAAGGCACAACTGTTGCAACATTAACAACAGCCTGAGGTAGAGCTATTAAAGCAGCAAAGGTAGGAACTGATCACTTAACTAGTTAAACAAGAATATTCAAAATACTTAAAATCATTAGGGTCACACCAAAAAGTATTAAAGTGCTTTTAAACTGAACACTTGGACTTAGAAAAGTATTGATTCTGAATTTCTTAATTTAGCAGTGACAATCTAGTGCCCTGGCTTCACTTCTGCTGAATCACAGAAGCAAGCAGTGACTTTGCTTACTGGCAGAAGCAGACCAGTAAGACCTGTTCTCCAAGAAGATTCCTCAAATACAATCAATCAGGCTCACATCATAAGGTTACAGACAGATTTGCTCCTCATCAGAAAATCTGACCATACATTTAGGACATGAACTTCATGCACAGGCACACTGTTAAATACAGCAAAGCATTAAATGCCAGTGAGAAAGGTGGTCTAGAGAAAATTATGGCTAGTAGTAGTAGTAAGCTTCAGAGGTAGGTGACACTTGTGGCAACTGGACTGTAACTCAATAAGGCTGCACAGCCGGCAGCTTATACAACAATTTTATATGATCCCCAAATAAATTTCAACCACCACTTAACTTCATTACTGTAAGGTGCCATAAATGCAATCTGATCCCCAGTTGTCCTGAAGCTAAGTAGCATTTTTTATAAAAGTACAGCAAGACAAAACACCGAAGAGTGCACTGGTGCTCTATGAGTTACTGAAAATAAATCTTTCAAGTATCTAAATGCCGCAATTTGCCCATGCTCTCCTAGCACTAGGTTAGGTTTCAGAAATTGTTGCAAGTTTTTGTTTTGTTTTTTTCCCACAAATCCCATTGGAAAGGTCAGCTGGGGCATATTTAATTTCGCTTTCCTTTGATGTTACTAGTTTCCTGGGATCAATTAGACATTTTTGCCATTCTTGAGATACTGGTGAAATTCTCTTATACTCTGGTACATTAGTAATACAGAAAAGTAAAAGCTGCCAAAGTTAAAAGCTTTGACATTTGTTACAGGGTTTTAGAAAAATAGTCTTCTAGCTTATGATGTAAATAGAATGGACATTCTGTGGCAACCATATCAAACACCGATCATAGGGTCAATAGAATGGAGAGATTCTGCAAGGCATTTTTTCTCATCTCCTCTTGCCATCCTAAGCACAAAGCAAAAAGGAAGAACATAAAATGTCTCTGTACATATAACTAGAGAAGCTGGTTCTCTTCCCAAACCTCAAACAATTCCACAAAAGGCCCGGATCAGTATTAATCGCACAGCATAGTTAAGGTTGGAAGGGACCACTGGAGGTCACCCTGTCCAACCTCCCTGTTCAAGCAGAGTCACCCAGAGCACATTGCTCACATTCTGTCCAGATGGCTCTTGAATTATCTCCAGGGAAGGAGACTCCACAACCTCTCCAGGCAACCTGTTCCAGTGCTCAGTCACTCTCACAGTAAAGAAGCTCCTCCTCATGTTCAGGTGGAACTTCTTGTGGTTTAGTTTGTCAGTTGCCTCTCATCCTATTACCTGACACCACCAAGAAGCATCCTGACACCCTGCCCTCAGATACTTATATACATTTATCAGATCCCCCTGAGCCTTCTCTTCTCCAGGCTGAACAGACCCAGCACCTTTAGCTTTTCCTCACAGCAGAGATGCTCCAGGCCCTTCATCATCTTAGTGACCCTTCCATGGACTTGCTCCAGGGGCCCAAACTGGACACAGTACTCCACGTGAGGCCTTACGAAGGCTGAGAAGAAAGAGAAGATTACTTCCCTCAACCTGCTGGTAATGCTCTTCCTCGTGCAGCCCAGGACACCATCTGCGTCCTTGGCCACAAGGGCGCATTGCTGCTGGCTCATGGATAACTCACGAGGACCCCCAGATCTCTCTCCTCAGAGTTGCTTTCCAGCAGGTCAGCCCCCAGCCTATGCTGGTTCATGGAGTTATTCCTCCTCAGCTGCAGGGCTCTGCACTTGCTGAGTTTCAGAAGGTTCCTCTCTCCATCCTGACTATATCCTTATGAAGGACAGCACAGCACTCAAGGGTATCAGCCACTCCTCCCCATGGCAGGCACTCTATCCCTCCATCCAAACCACTGATGAGCAAGTTGAACAATACTGGGCCCAGTACTGACCCTTGGGGGACACCGCTAGTTATAGGTCTCCAATTAGACTTCGTGCCACTGACCACAAACCTAATACTTTTCACTTCTTCACACTTCCTGCTTGACGTTTTTAGTTGGGATTACTGATTTGTGCAAGTCACTTGAAAGAGCACTTAAAGAAAGAGCAATTCAGAGAAGAGGAAGAACAATTCAGAAAAGATCTCCTGCCCTTATTCTTCCTTTAGCTGTCAATACTTCCTTTACCAATTCCTGTTTTAAAGCAAGTCAATTTGTCACAGGTTAATATTATTTACTTCTTGAAAAAAAAAAAAAAAGGAAAACTAAAAAACTCCACAGCTTCTCTACTGAAAGTCAAATGGCACTTAGCAGAACTGAAGCTGGGTGGCTGTGGAAATGTTGTGACATATACTGAAGAAAAAGGAAAAATAATTGAAAAAATAAGTCTGTTATAGCCAGGTACTGCAGTCTGGACTGACATTTCATGGGCCATCTATGGCCTCATCTGCTCAGCATGGTCCTTGGGCTGCTCTTCAGCATTCAAGAGATGCCTGCTTTGGAAGGATGAACGGACGGTTCGGTTCATTAATGGCTGAAGAGGGCGAAAGTTGTCTACCATTCTCTTTTCTTCTTCACCGTCTGAAGTAAAGAGCAGCATCCGAAACGCCTCCAGCTGAGAATGAGAAATGTCCAGTTTTGTGACTTTACTAACTGGAGAATTATTGAAGTTCACAACAAAACACAGTCATTCATGCTTGGGTAACAAAATCAAACGTATTATTACATTTGCATTCTGGGAAGTTTTAGCACAGACCTGTGGCACTTCTTTGTCACCTGCTGGTAAAGATATACCATCAGCCATATCAGTACAGAAGATGAACTGTCAGTCATCTGCCATATTTAGGCAAATTAAATCTGAAATGTGGCACATCTGAGATGAAACTGACTTCCAGAGATGGAACATATGCTGTCTTTAAATAAACCTCTCCATCCTTCTTAATTTACACCTTTTCTGGAGTTCTTTTAGCTTATACTGACGTGCATATGCTGGCACCCAGAAAAGACGGAAGCTCAACAAGCAACAATCTACATAGCTGTTATACTCAGTGGTTTCTAACTGGGGATTAAAATGAAGTATGCAGCAGGTCAGGCTTTAAATGCTCACAAGGGCATTACAATGTCAAGTAAACTATAAGCCTTTCTATGCCATAAAAGAACAAGAGTGAAAAAGAACCATGGAAAAAAGACAAAAAGAAAAAAGAACAGAAAAGAAATGAAAAAAGTTTCAATTGAAAATAAGAATGTTCCATTACGCATTCAGTTCTTTCTGCTCTGTTAACAGTCCTCAGTTTGTCCTGTCCTATTCCTTTATGTAAACTAAAATATTAAGATCACATACATGACTATTCTTCAGAGTTTTAGCTTGGAGTATGACTTTCCAGATCATTACTCTCCATAAAAAACTGTATCACCCCACCTCCTCCCCCCAGTAAGTTCACAATTTGCCTCATGTCATTGCACTCGCAATTACTAACCAAAGCCTCAAAAATTAGAGACATAGAATAGTTAGGGCTGGAAAGGACCTCAAGATCACCCAGTTCCAACACCACCACGCCCCACCGCCATGACCAGGGACACCTCACACTAAGCCATGTCACCCAAGGCTCTGTCCAACCCCGCCTTTAACACCACCAGGGATGGAGCATCCACAATTTTACTGGGCAACCCATTCCAGTGCCTCACCACCCTCACAGTAAAGAACTCCTTCCTTATATCCAATCTAACCTTCCCCTGCTTAAGTTTTAACCCATTACCCCTTGTCCTATCACTACAGTCCCTAATGAAGAGTCCATCCCCAGCATCCTTATAGGCCCCCTTCAGATACTGGAAAGCTGCTCCAAGGTCTCCACGCAGCCTTCTCTTCTCCAGGCTGAACAGCCCCAACTTTCTCAGCCTATCTTCATATGGGAGGAGTTCCAGCCCCTGATTATTCTCATGGCCCTGCTCTGGACTTGTTCCAACAGTTCCATGTCCTTCTTATGTTGAGGACACCAGAACTGCACACAATGCTCCAAGTGGGGTCTCACAGGAGCAGAGTAGAGGGGCAGGATCACCTCCTTCGACCTGCTGGTCACCCTCCTTTTGATGCAGCCCAGGATACGGTTGCTTTCTGGGCTGCGAGCGCACACTGAAGCCGGCTCATGTTCATTTTCTCATCAACCAACACCCCCAAGTCCTTCTCCTTGGGCTGCTCTGAATCCCTTCTCTGCCCAACCTGTAGCTGTGCCTGGGATTGCACTTGGCATGGTTAAACTTTATGAGGTTGGCATCAGCCCACCTCAGAAGCGTGTCAAGGTCCCTCTGGATGGCATTCCCTCCCTCCAGCGTATCAACCGAACCACACAGCTTGGTGTCATCGGCAAACTTGCTGAGGGTGCACTTAATCCTGTGAGATTGCACAGATAATTCTCAGTGCCTCTTAAACCGTTAAATAACAGTAGATTTTGGGGAGGTTGTTAAATTTTACTTGCTTCACAACAATCTCCAAGACTTGTTCTATGCTGTAATTACTTCACAACTCTGAACAGACAAAAAAATACTGAAAACTTCCAACAAAAACTACAATAGTAGTACAATTCCAATGAGTCCTCCTGATCATTTTCTACATGTCCCTACATCTACTTCATACCAAGGAATACCATCACATTGAAACATGAAGTAGTAAAATTAAAAGCAACAGAAGGTCTATGGTGACAAGTTAGGGTTAGTCTCAGGACAGGTGACTGACCACAAACTTTTACACTTGAAATAACTTCCATAATACAAATGTTTGCTGAAAAATTTGTGTGCCCTTTTTAAAGGGGAATTGAAAAAAAAAAAAAAATGGAATTCAAGGACAGTATAGCCAAATATATCAAAAACATGCCCACAAAGGCAAAACAGAAAACACAATGGAAACTCACTACGGCCATCAGAATGGCATGTGAGCCACCCACCACTGCTTCTGTATTTTCAGACATCACACAAGAGAAGAACAGCAGATTAGCTCTTGCAGTCTTGTCGTGGTTTAAACCCAGTCAGGCAGCTCATTCACTCACTCCCCCCCTTCTTTCCCTCCCCCTACTCCCGGAGGGACAGAGAGGAGAATCGAAAAGAATGCAACTCCCACGGGTTGAGATAAGAACAGTTTAGTAACTAAGGTATAACACAGATCACTACTGCTACCACCAATAATAATAATGATAAAGGAAATAACAAGGGAAGAGAATATATCATCTCACCACCAGCTGACCGATAACTCGCCCCCCCAGCCCGACCAAGCTCTGACCGATACCTCCTCCAACCCTGCAGTCTCCCAGCCCTTCCGGCTAACTCCCCGTTACATCCTGGGCATGACATGCTGTGGTATGGAATACCTCTTTGGCTAGCTTGGGTCAGGTGTCCTGTCTCTGCTTCCTCCTGGCTTCCCCTCCTCCCTGGCAGGGCATGAGGCTCACAAAGTCCTTGGCCAAACCAAAACATCATTGTTATCAGCTCTGTTCCCAAGCCAAAAGCCAAAACACTGCACTGCACCAGCTACCAAGAAGGAGAAAAATGACTGCTACTGCTGAACCCAGGACAAGTCTTCACAAGATTCCTGTGCAAATGCACAACATGACTACCAAGAACATGTACACAAGGTGAGATTTTGGAATTTCAGAAAACATGTCCGTCCTTCTCACTCCCTACCACAAAAAGAGCTGCAACCTGGTAAGGAGAGCAAACAGAGTTACAACAAATAACCTTCAAAGTTTTTAACAGGCAGCTTCCACCATAAGTCATTGCTTATCACTTATCAAGATAAAATTCTATTGGAAAGCTGGAGAAGTATCTTCAACTGCTTACTTTCTTTCAATATCAGCTGCTGTTTATGTCAGGATTCCTATCCAAATACCGGCTGTGAAGCAGCCACCAATCTCTGTATTCACAGAGAATTACTGGTACTGATAAGCAACTACTTCTGTGAATCTTGGCAGGGAGATAAAAAGGTATATGGTATGATTTGAAATGTAAGCATGAGATTTACCTGATTCTCATCAACCTCTATGGGCTGCTTCTTAATAATCCATGTGACTGATTCAGTAAGTGGGGGAGTAGTCAAAGAGCCCGCATAGGTCCAATAATCAGGGCATGAAGGTATCAAACAGGAGGGATCAAAGACATCAAACTCAATAACAGTGTCCTAATGCAAGAAAAAAAGTTTTAAAAATTGTATTTTGAGGCAAAAAAAACCCTTAAAAATATTAAATGATTCAAAACAATATTAAATACTGTACATGTTATGTATGCATATGCAAAAATAGGTATTGTGACTATTAATAATGATCTAATAACATAATAATTTAAACCCCATGAACTTGTACAAAATTGGTAAGCTGGGTTTGAAGCACTAGAGGCAGCTACTGAGTAGACAAAATTTAAATATTTCTGTTGTCCCCACAAGCCATTAGGAATTCAGGGCAGAAGAACAAGGAGTGCAAAGGAGCAACCAACTGTGTCTCTGTGGGAGCTAGAAACAAAGAAGAATAAATGATGCAGTAAGTTCAGGTTGCTCTGCCAGATACACTTAATAGACTGCAAACAATAGTGCCTTTACTTTTCACCACATGATTTTAGGCAGCTGGATAAAGGAGAATGACTAAAGTTTTATTTAAATCATATCAAGTATTCATGTCTCCACATTCATCTCCACGAGTGAGATACCAGACAGCAGGAGCTTCAGAGCCCATGATTTCCTACTTAAACATTTTACTTCTGAGATACTTCCAGGATATACAGGCAATGCAGAAAAGGAAGACTGAGACAGGTTTTATCAGTTTCCCATTGAGAATGAAAAAATACTACAGTATAGGATTTTTCAACAATAGGGTGTTGGATAAGAGATTTTAGATGGGACCTTTCACCCTGCATGTGAGAGGAAGATGCAAATACATCAGAATGGGTATTATCTGACCTTCCTCCTGCTAATCTGGGTAATGTTCCTCATTGTTTGGTGCTTAAGGCAGTGATAACTAGGAAACAAAGGTTTTCATACATTTCAAACCAAGTGCTGATGTGTTGCAGGGTGACCCTTTAGAAATCGGAGCAGCCCACATGCGGCTTGAAAAGCCTCATATTTGATACTGTATTTTTCTTTTAAAGACCTTGGCTTTAGTTTCTTTCAAACTCACATGCTGTAAAATATTATATTCTCATCATGGGCTTAGGTCTTTAAGCACAGAACTGACTTGTTTGGCATTTATCTGGCAGAATTTTACATCACTGCCATAAATATTTGGTTTATTTGGATTTTAGAAAATCCTTCCTGCGATAAATAATGGCACAGCGACTTCAACTGGACGCACCTACAAGCCAGCAGAATTCTTGATGTGTATTTTCAACGTCTGCTTTCAAAAACGAACGGGCCCCTGGAGGAGCATGAGCTGCTACTGAGCACTTACAGAGACGCAGCACTCCCTCTCCTGGCAGAATCAGAAATCAGCTGTGAAGAAAGAGTGCCATTCCCCTCGCAGAAAACTTAGGAGCGTTTAAAATAAGCAAACAATAATCTCCTCAAACACCAGACAAAAATCAGAAAGCCTTAATTCCACAAGAAATAAACTATCGCTTTACACAGCACAGCGAATTCTTTCCAGTTAAATGACATATAAAAACTAATCCAATGGCACCTGCTTTCATGGAAGCGGAAGGGCAGGCGTCAGTGAAGTGTCAGTGAGGGCCAGCGTTAAACGTGTGCCTGCTATTCTAAGGAGATACAATCTGAAGAGCATAATTTCTTAAAACAAGAGTTTGGAAAGCTTAACGTGTACAATTCCTCCTTAAAAATTGGCTTTCCTCCCACTGTCAGGACAGTCAACAATTTAACCAAGGTGACAATCAGACCCCCTACTGGTATTTAAGGAAAAAAGCCTTTACTACTGTTCTGCTCTTCTCAAGTATTCTTTACGTTTAATGACTGCATTAGCTATGCTGAGTGACAACTGGTGGGACACTTAAAAATACCTACTTTGTGTTTAACTGCTGGCAAGGCATCAACCAGTGTCTGCAGCCCTTCATGACGTGCTCCTAGCTGCAGAAGACAGACAGGAGTTAGAAAATCATTAAGCTGACATTCTACATATCTACTTTAATCAGTATTCCTTGAAAACAACAACAATCTAGAAGTATTTTGTCCTAAATTGGTCTTAACAAAATAAAAAGGCATCGTTATAGCTTATTACACAAAGTGAAATTACCTTTAAAAACACTCCAATAACAGCCAAGCCGTTACCTTCCATTACAGCTTCTTCAAAGGTTGGGTACACAACGGCATTCCAGTGTACTAAATGCAACTGAAATATAAATGAATAAGAAATTAACACGTGCACAGAACACAGCAATGATTATCAAGAAACTCGACTCTTGATCTTTGCTATGTTTGCTCCTTGGCAATTTGAGACACTGCAATGAGCTACCTCAGAACAAAAACATACAGCACAAAAACGAGAACCAAAGTGGTGTTGGGAAAGAATGTGATTTGTTTGTGGTTTTTTTTTTGTTTGGTTTGGGTTTTGGGTTTTTTTCTTTCTTTTTAAATAATAGCTAAAGACCCATAAACCACACTTCACAAATATGAAAGGGATTTTGTCTGTGGGAGACTAATTACAGGAAGGCTAGTTAAAAGCACAAAAAAGGCTAAGTATACCTGGAACTGAAGGTCACTCATTTCTTAACAGGAATGGTACAGAGCATGCTACACTGCTAAAGAACATTCTCATGCACATAATAAGCTTCCTCTGCATTGCTTACAGTCCAATACAAGCACTCCATTAAGGGGTTTTGTGTATTGGACAGATACCCAGAACCAGCCCCAGAACCTGGGGACTATAACTTGCTGGTAACACATACCTTGAAAAGCTAACAGGCATAATTCTGAACACGTTCACAGAAGAGAAACACCTTCTTGAAAATCACCATTTTTCAAAATTCTCCATCTTTGGCGTATTACTGTGTTTATATCTGTCGTATTTTCCTCTCTGAGCAACTTAATCTATATTTGTCCCCACTGGCTCCATCCTTTTTATTGACTCTCTTTCTGCCTCAGTAGTTACTCAGAAAAGTTTTGCTGCTCTAATGATTGCTTAGGAGTTGAAAACACAAAATAATCATGATAACTGCTATATTACCGTAACTCTGCTGTATGTTATTCTAACACCTTAAAAAAACACATAAAAAACTGTTGATAACTGGAAATAACCTTTAACATTAGATGGGGCTCTGTCTACACAAGACATGGAAAGCAGGATGAGGCCTTTTGATTTACAGGTATGGGTGTGACAATCTTTCATTTTCTCTTTAAATATGTATTTTTAAAAGAGTATTCAGTATGTGCTTTGTATCTCTGGAAGCATTTAGTAATAGTTGTGATTTTAAAGCAGCAAGGATTGAAAATTTGAGGCCCACTACAGACAGCAGCTGAGTTGCAGGGCATTCACTGTACTCCCAAGAAAATATGAACTCACAGCTTACGGCAGAACTCAGAGGTAAAGCAGCTACATTTTTTTATTAAGATCTGAGCTTGCACACTTACCTCAGTAATTGCTGCCCACCTGATCTGCATCACATTAGCTGGGACCTGGGAGTTCATTAAGACCCAATTGCATCCTCAGTCTGCTTTCTGTTTCATCCTTTTCCCCTTTAAAGGGGGGAAGGACAAGCAGAGTTGTGCCACTCCATCCCTACAGAGCTGGAATATCAATGATAATTCACTGCCTGCCATTGGCTTGTCCGGCAGCTACCCCCAGGGCCATTCAGGGAGAAGAAAACATTAACTGAAACTTTCAGTAATGAGGCCAATGTTCAATTTTAAGACTCTGTTCTCCAGAAAACAGAGTGAATGTGAACTTACTAATAAAATGGTGGATGAGCTCTGGCACCTATCAGGTCTGATCTTTAACAGTAAGCTTTAATGCTTAAAACTCGGAATTTTGTAGCATGCGGTACAGTCACAGACAGCCTGACACCCAGCCTCCAGTCCCCACAAGCATTTGCATTCTTCAGCATTTTATCTCATACCTCTGCTGGGTAAAATTTACAGTCAACTGTGTGCTCTGAACCCCAGTCATTTATAGCTCCCCAATGGAAGTGGAACTGCTTTAGCCTGTATTGGTTTTCCAAGGGACCTCCATCAATTACTAAAAAACCAAAACAAGACACACATATTAATAAACATGATTTAGAATTATCCAGACAACTAACACAGCAAGATCTTCCTTGAAATAAACTTGACCAGTAAAAAGATCAGGTGGAGCAATGTGCCTTAACTGGAACAGTCCCCCTAATGCTTGGCTACTTGTACACTTTCCTTTGATACAACAAAATTGTTCAAGCAAACACACCACTGTTTCCCCCTGCAGTATGAATCAATCACATCAAGCTGAAGATAAGCTAAATAGTCTCCTCATCCAACTCCCCTCAAGGGAATTTTCTCCCCAGTTCACATCCAGTTTGGCAGAGTGGTGATTACATGATGTGATCTATCCTCTTCTCTTTGAGCAGGCATATTAGAACTGCCTTATCCCAAAGAAACATGTGTAATGACAAAGTAATTAATACATCTACTAAATGACATCCCAGCAAAGCCTCAGCATCTACGAAAAACATTGACATTTCCCATGACAAGCCTTCAAAAGTCCAATTTTGCCAGAAAACAATCAGTACACTGTGTCAAACATTCAATTCTGCTGTTCTTCAAGTTACAAAAGTCCAAACATACTATTTTGCTTCAATACAACTTTCAGACTTCATAACCGATGTTAAAGGTTTTCTGCACAGCCAGAAATGTATTGATATTGTGCCTACTGTGAACTGTTCAAGCTACACTCCATAAAGTATCTATGCACAAGATTCTGAGTTTCTGGAAGCTTTAATGAGCTTTTTTAGCCATGAGTACAGGTAAGCATTGAGCCTGCTCTCCTGATTTCAGAAAGCCTCTCATCATTTTGCAAATACACAAATGAAATACTCTAGGCATAGTTTTTCTATGTTCTATTGGGTTTTACTCATTTTTTCCTAATCAAGCCAGGAACATGCTGCAAAGCCTTCTTCCTAGTTACTACAAGACAGCACCTGGTAAATGAGAGACCATAATTACTTCCAAAGGGCTAAACAAATATGCAGCTGTAAAGTCCTGTTTGCTGATTTTTACTTAACTGTATGTCATGGTTAAATTTTATAGCAAACCACTGTATAAAGTACATAATCCCACACTATTTGAAAAGAAGTTAATCACTTTAAAGCTAAGGAGAAAATAATGAAAGGTATTAAGAATTTTTCTTGGTTTTGTTTTTTTTTTGTTGGGGGGGTGTTTTGTTTGTCTTTTGGTTTTGGTTTTTTTATTTTATGAAAAACCAACCATTAGTTTTGAAATTCTAACTAGGCAGGTCTGATTGCGATAAAAGAGTATGCTAATGTCAATTAGTTGACATTTATTTCATCTGCTGCTGCTGAGCTTTAGCAGAAGTGCAATACTGACCATCCCTGAAAAATCACGATGCAGAAAAGTAACTTAAAAGGATAGGATGAAGATGTGGCCCACTGCAAAGTCCCTCAGAATTATGTCTCTGTGCTTTAAGACTACCCATTCCTGATTTTGTGATGATGCGAACCCACAAGCAGCTACATTCATGTTAATAATCACATTTACTTGAATGTTTACCTCATGAGTAAAGTTAGGCACAGGGGACACATGTAGAAAATCAGGTTCCTGTAGTGGACACCCAAAAGTGACAGGAAACAAACAGGAATTTACAGTCCCTTTACAAACATTTTTCCCATTTCATTTCCTCTCAATTCACCAGTCTTGAAAATTTCAAAACAAAACAGAAGTCTAAAGGAACTCAAACAACAATCAGCAGAAATAATCACATCAGCTTTTTGCTGTAACCCTGGATCTGTTTGTCTCATTTCCTTGCAGCAGATGGCATTCGTGCACACAGACAGGACCACACTCAGTACATACCTTCCCCAAACCCTCTTCTCTTCTTCATCTTCCTGATCTGCTCATAAGCAAACACCCCATGGCAGCACTACCTTCATTTTTTGCCCAAGTCTTGATTTGCCTCATCTCAGGAGTTGGGCATTTTTGTCTATCCTGGGTGCATACTTCATTTTGTATTTTTCATCTTCTGTTTCAATTTTGTTGCTTTTCTTTATTCCTACGCTTCCTTCTCTGGATTTCTATTATTGTTAGACAGAAGCTGGCAGAAAGAAAAATCAGAAATAGCAAGTAAAGACAGAAAAGACAGAGGAGAGAGGTAGGCACTTGAAAACCTGGTCATTTATACAGCAACATCTGTTCTTTCTCTGTCATTTTGGAGTCCTGTCACCTGTCACTGATCATTTCATGTCATCCTCCACTAGCCATCATCACCCTTCACTGACTTCAGTTCGAGGGAGATGATGATGATAAGCCAGCCATTCAGAAAGAGGCAGCAAGAATGTTTACACTTAAATCTTTACCTCAAGTGTTCAGTCTTACAGATGAAGTGGGTAAGATTTTTCAGAGCTGTAATGCGCTCTGATTAGCCAGGCTCTGAAAGGCCAGCACCCCTCTGACTGACAGTCCTGATGCTTGTGTCTATGTCAAAAAACACTGTTCCTGTGCATTTAAATGCTGTGTGTTTGTTAACCTCTGCAGGCAATTCCCCTCCACTACATCAATCCTGGCAGGGAAAACAAAGAAATAAACAAAACAAAAAAACTTTGTTATCCATCAAACTGCAAACCATTACACTTCGAGAATGCATCCTCATTTGTTAGGTTAAAGAAAACCAATCTAAAGTTAGTTAGTTAAAATCACAGATGAGCTACAAGTGATGTCTCCATCTTAGTCTCTCCTCTGACCTACCTCACTTAATGCAGTAGCAGTTTGTACTGTAAAAAAACACAAGAGCAATACTTGGTTTCTTCATACATACAACAGCACTCAAATGAACAAGGGCAAGAATATTCTCTGGTTGGAAACAAATATTCTGGGTGAACAGCCATAAACAAGAAAACAAAAAAAAACCCAAATGTCACACAAGCCTCAAAGCTCCATGCATTCCACCACTATCATTTTTGCTGTATTGTTTCACCAGCCTCTTTCAAAACATCAACCAAAAATACTGGTATTGTGAAATCTTCCCTCCCAAGAGCATTACTAAATCTCTTATGAAGTTCCAGCATCTCTCACGGCAAGCAGCCACCTTATAAATAGTTCTAATCAAACAGGTTCAAACTTCCCCCAAGTCCCTCAATTTTTCCATCCAGGACAAGTGATCAATATGAATCGTGTGTTTCACAATATCCCTGACCAGTTCACCTACTTTTACTTCTTTATACGCACCAGCAATACCTTTTGGTAAAGTCAACTTTTAAAAGGAACAACGGACAAAAACATCTGGAATTTGGTAGCAATATCTTCATTTTAAGTCACTCCACTACGCTGAGCATTTAAAAAAGATATAGCTGCTCAGGTCAGAATCCTTATTCACAGTAAATTACTGGAATGTATAATTTGATTCTGCATGCATGAACTCCTGCTTATGCTAAAATTAACAGGAACACATGCACCTTCTGTTCCCTATGGTAGCAATTTAGTATTATTCGATTTTCCAAGAGCTTATTGAGATAAGTGTGTATGCTTTTGAAACTTAAGTCATTTTGTTACCGGTTATTTCAAATGCATTAAATATATCTGTTAACACTGCAGAAGAGATAAGTGGCAGATTACTATTTAATATCTTATACACTTCACTATTTAATAGTGTAATATGGAATCTCATTTAAAATTAAGTAGATACATACAACTGAAGCTTGACTCATGCAGCAAAGCTGTGATATTACGAGACCTAATAAAAAAGGCAGGGGATTAAGGCTTGTGCAATATGAGTAAGTCTTAACCTGCAACACAGGGTTTGTGCAGTGTCCATGGTAGTAAATAACTTAGAGTAAGGCCTGCATAGAACTTTTGCATTACAGTTCCCACCACTGTAAACGCTAAAACATTCTTTTACTATACATTCATTTCCAACACTTCTCCTGAGGTTTTACAGCTAGCAAGTATTTCTCCTCTCTATGCATTAATAAAGACATTAAACAGATTTTTCTGAGTTTTTCTTACTCGATCTATCAGTAGAATCATCAAACTCAACCAGGAATGAATAGCCGTTGTTCCAGATGTGAAGACACGTTGTTGGGTCGTAGCTGATTTTCAGAGGCTTCAGGAAGGGGTCATAAACACTGTCTCTCCACTGGATATTGATAGGAGACTGTCGGGTGCCTCCAGGGATTGTAAGCGGACTCTGCCAGAGTGGATGCACTGGAAGATGATGAAGAGAGTCAGGCTCTAATGCACGATACAGAACTTCCAACCGAATACCTCAGAACTTTTTGGCAAGAGAAGGCGCTTTGGCATATTGGCTCCAAAAGCTAATTCAAGTCAGCTGATGCACAGAAAAGTAAAAAAAATAATAACAACACATTCCAGTTGCATGACTCAAAGCCACATAGGGAAGTGCAGTAATCTGACATACAACTGCGTTGACGATACCTTCCTGCATTTGCAAAGTGCTCTTCAAAGAAATTCTGTTGCTTATTTCCTAGAAAACTCTCTTTTACAGATGATTGATTTTAAAGTGGCTTCTGCTTTATAACTTTGCCTGACTCTCAGCACACCACTTCAGCTTTCCTCATACACCAGTACCATCAACTGACATCAGCCTGCGCCAGACGCAGGACAACTCTGATGAGAAAGCAAAAATACCCCCTTGAAGGTGCTAGTCTTTCGCCTACATGTGCTTACAGGTTACACCACTGCTGAGGGTGTAGGGCCCTGAAGCAGCCGTGCCCATATTGACCAAGACTCCTTTATACAATCAGAACCTACAGCTGATCCCAAACCTGTAAAACCCCAAACTACACATTTTGGGGGCTGCTTGGATACAGCTGCATGAATACAGCTTCTGCAGGATTTTATTCTACTTCAAAGCAGAATCAAGATCTGTGTGGATGGGGAGCACTTGTTCACCTGCTGTCCCACACCACCGATGAAACACCAGTAAAGGGTTTTTGTGCTGGGTCCATTCACTGAACCCAAACTGGAGAGGCTCTCAGGCACTGCATTACTGCCTACTTCATTACGTACAACTGCTTGAGGTCTTTTGCAAGCGGAAAATAAAAGCAAATTAAATCTTTTAACAAACCTCTCACGTAAGGGGTGGCTAAACAACCTTCCCCTTCAGTTTCCTCAGCGAGGACCAAACTTTATCGGCCCGCACAAGGTCACCACACACAGGTAAGGCAAACAAAATACTCCCCAGAAGTCCTCAAATCCCCGTTACTGTTACTGCCATTTCCTGACGTTCAGCGGAGGACCGGACGCCGACAAAGCCAAGCTGAAGTTGGTGTCTCCGCCTTAGCCAAACTTTGGAGGCACCGGCAGCCCCTTTAGGACCACGAAGGGACCGAGGAACATGGGCGCTGCCCATGCCCGAGCCCTGGGCAACACGAAGGGGCGCAGCGCGGTGGGCAGGAGGCGATGAACCGGGCGGGGAGAGCAAGGGGAGCGGGGGGACATCGAGCTCCCCTCAGCAGGCGGGAGCTGCTCCGCTCGAGGGGCGAGGGCAGCGCGGGCCTGAAGGAGCCCGTGGGCAGGCGGCCCCCCTGAGGGAAGGGTCTCGGCAGGGCCGCAGCACTCACGGACGTCTCGCAAGCGGTAGGAGCAGCAGGCGCCCAGGCTGCATCGTCGCGTCCCCCGCCGTGAGGCAGCGGCCACCCAAGCGCGGCGAAGCAGCGGCAGCATCGCTGAGGAGACCGCGGAGCCGCCGGGTGCCACCGCCCAGCACAGCCCGGCCCAGAGCGGCGCAGCCCCTTCCGGGCCGGCCCTCGACCGCTGCGATCCCCTCAGGGGAGCGGGCGGTGTCGCTGATAGAGGCGGGAGGGTGAGGGCGGCGGCCCCCCGGCGGCTGCTTCTCCCTCAGGGGCGGAGGCTGGCTTCCACCGGCATTTTATCCAGTGATAACCCTGCGGAGGAGACAGTACATCTCTGTGTGAGCGTGCTCGCCATTTCCCGTGGTCATGCTGATCCCTGTGCCTGACTCACATCAAAAACGTGTTTGCCCTGAGGGTGACAGCGTCACAGGGGGGTTAGCTGTTATTCTTGTCTAGTCGGTTTTACTCAAGCAGGAGGTTTAGGTTGCACGGGTGTCCCTGTCCCAAACTGCACACGGGAAAGCTGGGAGAAGTTAACATGACGGCCGTTTTACCCCACTGCATCTGCCCCAAAGGCTGGAGGCAGAAACAGGACCACCCCAGGATGGTAAAAAGGGGCCGATTCAACCGGGATTTGTGTGAAACTGCTTGAGGCAGGTGGATGAAACGGGTTAAAACCTTGGTTACTCCTTGCCCCTTTTTCTCTGTTACAGTTCCCAGTGAGGAACACAAAGGAAGCTCCGTAGAAAGCGGACTGAGTGAACGTGCAGAGATGAAGAGTCCTCAGTTTTGCTGTGTCTGTTGAGCAGCCAGGAGCAAACACCACACCTCAGCTCCCGGCCTTCATCTGGCCACCTCCTGTGAATCCTGTTTCTTGGTTACTCCCTTAAAATCGCTTTGCACATTTGCATTTACCCTTGGGGGGTGTTTTAGAGTGAGTACTTCTGAATTTTCATGAGGAACCTGATGTAGCATTGAGAATGTTCTGTTGGAGACAAGACTAAATAGAGCCAACAAAGAAGTGTTTGCTCTAGTTTACAACGTTGTGTAACAAGTTTCCATTGCATTCACAGTACAATGTATTTAGAGTACTCCTGAGTTGAGTAAGAGGTTGAAATCTGGCAAGTGATTTGCAATTAGTGGCTATGTGATGAGGAAACAGATCATTAGATGTACAAACAGCTTGTGATCTTAGGATGTTTTACAGAATCATAGAACACTTAGGGTTGGAAAGGACCTCAAGACTATGGAGTTCCAACCCCCCTGCCATGGGCAGGGACACCTCACACTAAACCATATCACCCAAGGCTTCCTCCAGCCCGGCCCTTTACACTGCCAGGGATGGAGCATTCACAGCTTCCTTGGGCAACCCATTCCAGTGCCTCACCACCCTCACAGTAAAGAACTTCCTCCTTATATCCAATCTAAACTTTCCCTGTTTAAGTTTTAACCCATTACCCCTTGTCCTGTCACTACAGTCCCTAATGAAGAGTCCCTCCCTCCCCAGCATCCCTATAGGCCCCCTTCAGATACTGGAAGGCTGCCATGAGGTCTCCACACAGCCTTCTCTTCTCCAGGCTGAACAGCCCCAACTTTCTCAGCCTGTCTTCATACGGGTTTGAATTTAATTTACTTCCTACTTGCCAAGATAGACCTTCTTTAAAGCACAGCCCTTTTTTTTGCATAGCAAGATTCAACTGCAAACACCATGAACTGTGGTTTGAGTCTCAATGTTTTTCAGGATGGTTAATGTATTATCTTCAACATACAGTTCCTGTAACTTGAAGAGAAAGGTACTTGATGAAACTGAAAACAGTTGCCACCCATAAATGCAGTTTTGCATTCAGGGTTAATTACAGTTTAATAGCCAATTGATCATGGTTGGGCAAGTGTATTTAGTACAGGTCAGACCTGTCGCTGAAGCTACTTACGAGCAACAGGTAGCTCCTGGTCATGAGGGCAGCTCATAATGAGCTTCATGCTTAATTGCAGCAGGGAGCTCAAATGTAGCTTCAGGTATTGTAATATTCAGTATAAAGAGATACTGGGTTTTATTCTTATCTACCAAGGCAATAATGACATTCCTTCACATTCCATTCTCCCATGATGTGTCCTCTAAATACAACTAATAATTTCAGGCAGTTTAGAAATCACATCTACTAAATTAACTGATGTATGTATGCATGCCCTATATCATAGTATAGGTGCTTACTGTTGCAGAGCATAACCTGGCTTCTGCACAACTATCATTTTTCTGCGTGTTAAAAGCAGTTGACAAAAAAAAAAAATCCTCAAAATCCACTACTTTACGCTGTGGCATTAAGATAGACAAACTTTGTAAAGCTTTTACGAATTAGATCCTGCAAGCTTTTGAAAATGTGAAGTTTCTTATAGAGCTACAAAACTGAGCAGAATGAGTCATTTCTTGTGTGTTGAACAGCACAACCACAGGAAAGTTCTTAAGCTTGCGGAAACAATGGGCTGTTCTGGTGCAGAACTAAAAGAAAAATAACTTTGACCTGAACATTTTTGTTTCCCTTCTGAATCATTCATGGAATCTCCATCCAGTTTTTACATGTACACACTATTTAAGTAACACTTCAGCATCTGATGAAAAAAACCTTTTCTTCTCTACTGGGTTAAAGAAACCACTTCAAAATACAAGCTGAGTGGCATTGGGATGGTTTGTTTTGGAAACTGCAGACAGAAAGGCAAAAACTACCTCTGCAAAAGGAAACCAAAGCTCTAGACCTTCTGCACAGCACTCAACTAGCATGGCCAAAATCTATTCTTGACCACTGCAGATACACAGTGTCTCCTTGGCCATGTCCCAGCTAGAGGTGGTTGATGCAAGCAAGAGACATGGCTCTCAAGCAGCAAGCTGGGGAGAACAATGGCAGCCAGAATTACAGTATCTCTGTTGTTCTCATGTTTTTCCAAAATTGCTGCATTTCTGGACCATTTGGGAAGTTTTAGCTACATTCTCTCTTGTTTCTAAATGAGAGAGTCTTGTGTGTATAGGGAACACCAGAACCAGAAATTTGGCAATTGGCCTTCTGGATGAGTGATGCAGAATCTGAGTGGAAAGAGAAATAGAAACTTCATCTATTAGGTCTGTTTTCAAATGTGCAAAGTTTAAATAAAAGCGAAAAAAAAAGCTGAGAATTAATCAGTGTGCATTTTGCACCCTTTGCTTTACGCACACCTCATTTGCAGTCAGCTCACTGAGGAAAGTTCTAGTTATCATTTACCTTTTTACATGCCATATCCATGGCATTGTCTGAACAGTTCAGTAAATACTGTAGTATAACAAGCATGAGCAAAATGTGAGTCACTCATGAAGAGAGATCTGCCACAAACAGGCCTAATCTGTGCTTGATTTATTTTACTTATTTAAAATCTTCCAGACAGACACAGTGATGCTCCATTTAATTTTATAGTGTTTGGAGGCTTCTTACACTTGCACTGTGTGTTTTTCTCCTTACCACTCCCAGCTGAAGTAGACATACAGAGCCATCCAAATAGTCCAAATCTTTATAATTGTTTTGTATAATTAATTGCAGCTGTGGTGTGTTTGGCATAATTGTTAAAAAAGTTCATTTAGCACTGATACAAGTCTCAAAAGGTTTGGAGTGGGAATCAAGATCCAGATGAAAATGTGGGTTGTGTATAATATTACTGGATTAGCATTAATTTATAATACGATCTCAAAGAAAATATTTTGAAGGCCGCAGTTTGATGGTAAAAATCCAAAATAAATTGAGCTAAATGAAAGGTTTTACTTCCAGTTTGCACTGTTGTAAACTTGATTTAAAGAGACAAAATATTTTTCAATGTTTCATTTTTAATTTACCTTTAGGGATCCTGGGGAGGACAGAGTTCTCATGTATAGGTTACAGAATTAGAAGAAAGAGTATGAAAATTGGTGGTTATCAAGTAAGAATGAGGGGTAAAATGACTCAGCTTCAGGGGATTCCAGTCTTTATGGGTTTAATCTTTAAAAAGGAAAAAAATCCAACCTGCTGAATGAAGCACTTTGGTTTGTTTACACAGGGACCTTCAAACAAGCTTCACCCAGCTCTGAAGTAAAAGAGGGAGGACAGCATGGTGGACAGTGTTCCTACTTGAAGGAAGTGCATTTTTGTCCTAAGTTGACCAGGGGCCCTTTCCATAGCAACACATTCTGAATTTGAAAAATAAACCCAAACATATAACTGAAACTCAACAGAGAACCATTTTAAACTTTAGAAGACCGTGGCTCTGCTTTAGTCACTTGGATCGAATATTACAGAGGAAATCCAAAATAGGTTGATTTCTTTGAAGCTTTTTAGTATGAATCAAGATTTTGGAGGGTAACAGTGATGGCTGGCTGAGGTCCATTGTAACAAGGTGTTGAAAGTTCTGCTGAATTCATGTCAGATTTGGACTGTGATTTAGGCCAGCTTATTGATAAACAGTCCAGTGCTTTTTATCAAATGGATGTAACTGACAGAGTACTCTAAGCTCTACAGAAAAGCAGCAGCAGATTGTGAAATGCTGAGCTTTTCTCTGCTTCCAGAATGTTTGGCAGAGATAGGAGGCTGGATGAGAAGGCAGTGGCTGAGGCTAAGTCCAGATAAGGAGGACGTGATTCCAGTTGGCAAGGTAAAGCAAACAGAGGCTTTATCTTTTCTGTATAAAAACGTTTGCCGAAATTATGCATGCAGACTTAGTAGCTCAGCATGGAAAGGGCTTACAAGATCTCTCATGGACAATTTGTGTAGTTTCTGCAATTGTATGTGCAGTCCTGGAGATGGCACACCTGGATTGTGTCATTTCTGTACTTCTACAATTATTAAAAACCAAAACCTGAAGGATTCTGCTTTTCTTTTAACTTCTAAAAGGCTAAGAAAAGGAAAAGAGAAAAATACATTGAGATCTGTTTTGGCAACAACTGCTTGGGTGCTCTATAATCTTAAAATCCCTATGAAGAGCATTTCCAGCAGCTCTCTATTGTATTAAAAGGTGCCTGAAACCACTGCCTCCATGGTACAACATACTACAGAGCTTAGTACAGACATCCTCTGTGGTAGTCTATGTCACTAGAAATTCATAAATATATGCCATGTTTCTCAGCAATGTTTTCACAGTTCTTTGTTAGTGAAGTGCAGAAATATGCTTTTGTCATTTTGAGGAGACAAGAGGAATCCAGAAAAGGCACTAGAAAGTGTTAGTCTTTGAATTGTTTAACTTATATCCTCAAAGCAAACATCTGAGTTAACTGCTGAGTGAAAGCATCACCACACAGATCGGCGAGAGACTGCTTCTGTGTGTGGGAAGGGTGAAGGGAGAAAGATAGGAGATGAAGTTTGGGAAAATGGCGAACTTCATATTGCAGACATTACCCAAGAAATTTACAGTCCAATTTTACCATTTCTTTGATCAAGTTTTTGTCACCAAAAGGGTTTTTTGTGAATAGCTGAATTTAATTGAATGTGCTTTTTGCTCTGAATGGATGTTGTGCACAGGGTCTAGCCAGCAGATGGAGGAACTTGCAGGCTGGCTCATTCAGAGCTGGTGCCTGTTCACTGGCAGCTGAAACCAGCCATTCCAAAGATAGCATTTTCCTGAATCAGTTTGTTTTGGCATTTCCTGCATGAATGTCATGGAATAAAGAAAGATTTAAGTAATAAATAGCATCTGTCTTAAATTGAAAAGAGGAAAAATTAAATTGAAAAGAGTAAAAAAAGATGGAGAGCAATTGCAGTTAATTTAAACAGCAATGGTCCTATAATGGAACAGCCTTGTATGATCTCTTCCTGGAAATCTTGTTACTGTGAAGTGAGTTTCAGTTTCTCAGTACAGTTACCCTGGAACAAGTGTCCATAGCAAAAAATACATCATTAACCCCTTACTGGAAACCAATGGGCCATGGGTAACCATAAAATAATTATTTCTCCATCCTGTGTGGAGTTCTATGGATTGTGGTTATTTCTCCAGTTTACCTTCTTACTCCACTGAACATTTCAAATAATTTTCCTAGATCAGTAATTTCACTGATGAAACAGGAATGTTACACTTAACTGTAATACATTCCATTCCTTGAGTTTTTAATTCTATAGGCTATAAAGCTTAGTAGCATATTAAAACTGAGCAAGGAGCAGAATTAGGAACTGTCTAGAGGGATCCTGTGCTGCTGATTCATGATTTCAGTACTTTTTTTTTATGAAAGATGTTTATATTTTCTTGTGTGGCTTCTGAAATTGGAAATTGTTGGACTCACAATGAATACTCACTTGCAATCTTCATGTCTTCAAGTATAAAAACACTGAATAAATAATGAATAAAAATACAGAGTCATGACAGAACTTTTTAACCACAGTTACAGTGGATTATCTGGATTTCCCCTCTGAAGCAGTAATTCATATCCCTGCACATGATGAGCAGTACTGTATGAGCCCCAACACTATACTCACTGGCACAGCTTTTGGTTTTAGCTGTTGAATTTCCAGAGCTGAAAAAGTCTGCTGATAAATTGCAGCTAAAGGAGTGATAGATTGCTTCTGACTGTTAGAATATGTTCTCTCATATGCACATGTTCTTATGTGGAGGGGATGCAGAGTTGTAGAGACTAATTAACACAATTAATATGAATTTGTTAGGAAAGCTGCTATTTTGTAAGGCTGAATCATAGTTTTTCTAAACATTACTGTAATGCTTTTCTTTGAATAGATGAACAATGTATTTTTCCTTGTCTTAATGGGAAAAAATGAAGTTTGGCAGTGTTCAAGGCCAGGCTGGCCAGAGCCTTGGGTGACATGGTTTAGTGTGAGGTGTACCTGCCCATGGCAGGGGGTTGGAACTGGATGATCTTAAGGTCCTTTCCAACCCTAACTATTCTATGATTCTAAGTTTCTGAGCATGCTTATAAAGAAAAAATTAGTAGGAAAGGAAGTACAAGTTTAAGAGACTTTTCAGCTGTACTACGAAAGCACAGAAAAGGGGAAAATGTGATCAGGGATGCATGTGTGATCATTTAAATACTGCATTAGGAATTAAGCTCTTTCTTGTGGTTGTTTCTCTAATAAAACAACTGAGCGCTAATCTTGCTTCTAGAATTAATCATCTTCTAGATATCTAGAAGGCATCTTTTAAAAATGAAGGTATAAAAAAATAAGGAACTGCTATATTAACAAATATTAGTAGATGGAAGTACCCATTCTGGTTTAAGGTTTCAGGATACAATTTGCATTTTCTATTCTAAGTAACAAGAAAGGAAAAAGAATATTTAGTGTAAGAACTCTGAAAAACTTTGCAAACACTGTATCTTTATAAGACCTGTTCTGACTTATTTCTGATGTGCTAAGTGGCAGGGAAGCTTGCGTGCTGTGTGTTACATAAAGCTTCCATGTCTAGGAGTATCTAAAACACTGTGCACACTGAACTTGCCAGCCAATCTACCAGGTTTCTTGAAATGCTAGTCACTCAGTGGCAGAAAGAATTCAGCATAGTCTTCAAAATGGATTTCCAAGTGTAAAGCTATTAAACACAGAAAGCTTCTGAGTATTTCTTCTAGCTTTCAATATAAACAAAGCCTTGTGCTTGTCTCCATTCTGCTTTGCTTTATATCTGCCAGAAAACCATCTGTTTTCTCCTCAGCTAATACAAAATTTGTTGTTTGATAGTTTAAATAGAAGGAAATCACATCTCAGTATTCAAGGAAGGATCTGGCTGTTCTGTGGCAAAAGTAACTATGCTGAATACATTGACGGGGGAAAAAACAGGAAACAAAAGGATTCCTAGATGTAAAAAACTACTCTTTACTATTGCTCCAGCTGACATTATCTACACGTGAGCAAGTAGACACACGATCTCTGGCTGGCACCATCTTATCTTTAAATAAATTAATCAGTGTTTTAAATAACTAAATCTTTGACATCTTCTAGTAGTATCCTGCATCTCAGGAAGCGATTCATTGCAGTTATCCTGTACACCACATTTGAAGAGTTTTGTGGCTTACACTTTTCAAAATTAAAGACTGCAGTGTCTATTAAATTCAGAATCCCTCAGAATCAATTCGCTGTAGGTAGCCAGCACTATTTCAATAAAATGAAGCACACTTACATGCACCATTCCTGTTTTTATGAGTGGAGGTGGCCAGGCTGCAGAGTCCTGCTGGCACTGCTGCTGGACTACAGATAGTTTTCAGCTGCTTGTAGAAACGCACCAGGGTATTTGCCTTCAAACTATTCATTGCTATCACTTTGGCACTTCAAATCTTCTGTTCGTCAAACAGACAGAGGAGCTTTTCAGAGTCCAGGGACCTATCAACACAAAGCAGAGGGAAAAAATCCTGCAGATACACAGCTTCAAGATAACTGGAGGGTCTCCAGACTGATTTATAACAAATTCTGTGAGCACCCTTTCCTAGTTGGAGACGTGGAACTGACAAGTAGTTAATTTTCAACTTGTCCCTAGACTGCCTTCTTCATTTGCTCTATATTTTGTTGGAGGACTAGCTAGTTGATGATTATTCTACATGTGCTCTCCAGCTTTTTTCTTATCTGGCTCGATGAGCAACTAAAGTGTTACAGAAACCACTCTTTTGTATGCAAGGAGAGGTTTCTTATCATGTCTTGCTGCATACATGCTTTGAATTTGAATAGCTGTGTATTTGAATACAGATAGCTAAGAACTGTCATTAACAGCTATAATTCAGAGGACTGGTGACTGCCCAGACTGAGGAATTCACAGAAATCTAGTAGATCTATAAGGCTTGCCCACAGAATAGGAAGAGCAGCCTCCTGCAGAGGAGTATTTTAGCTGTAAGCACGTGACACAGCATCACTGCAGCCTCAAGGTGAGGAATTCGTTCCTCTGAACTATCCCATGTCCCATAAGAGGGATATTTTTGTATAGACTAGAAATAGGAACAGGCATAAGGAACCCTAATTACTCTTCCTACTCACACACCCCTTTGACCCAGCTGAAGTATTCTTTTTCCCAGCGGGGAGAGCAGATTGAGATGTTTTCATGACCTATGTTTTTCTTAGGGATGAAAGCATGAAGAATGTTACTCTCTTACTATTCCCACATGCAATTCCAATAACATTGTTCTCTTATGTGAAAGATCCATATTAAAATCCCATTCTTCAATATTCTTTGGGATGTTTATTCTGCCTCCCATAGCTGCAATCCACGTCAATGGCACAGACACACAAGTAACTTCTGAGTTAGTGGTATAGTTTCTCAGTGTAACAGACAAGCCACTAAAGGGTGCAGAGTCCTTCCTTGAGACAGGTCCAAAGCCAAACCTGAAGACATGTGCCCTAACATCAGAGTTCAGCGGCCCAGGCAGGCAGGGCTGTGGGTAGAGTCTGCACCTGAGCGTTGTCAGGACCAGTAAGACTTGTTAGCGGCTTCAAGGTCATGTGGGGCCTTTAGTAACTCTCATGTCAGTATTTACAAAATCCATGTGATTATTTTCCTCCATTAAGTACATAGGAAGGCATATTTTGAAAGCAACAGTCTTAACCAATGACAGAGCAGGCAAAAGTGAGAAGACTATTAACATTCTGCTATTAAAAATTTGCCATCAAACCCCACTCCTTTCTTAATCCATAAAATTACCTGTGAAATATTTGTCACTTTGTTTTGTTGGTTGTTTTTTGGGTTTGTTTTTGGCTTTTTTTGCTTAATAAATTGTGTTGTTTTGAATTAGAAACTCATTTGCTTGGCAATATTTTCATTAAACACAGATGTGTTTCTCATCTCTTATCACACAGGGTGTAAGTGCAAGGCTCAGGGAATCTACTTTAGTAGCCTGAAGTGGCAAGCTTATCTGTACAATTTGCTATTCCAAAACCTAATATTTAGAAGAGTCTTTCTTAATGCTTGTCATTTATTATCTCAGCTGCCTGTTTCAAAATATCTAAAAGCAAGCCATTATCAGTTGAGAGTTCTGCCTGAAGAACTGCAACATCAAACTTCTATGGTTGCTCATGACTGTGGGTAATTGCAACTGTGGAGTATTCCTGTATACGATGGAATGGTGCTTATTTTGTCTTCACAGAAACTAGAGAAGTGATATTTCTTGCTGTCACAACCCATCTGACTTGCTCCAGACTGGACAGGGAGGACCAATATTTCTTTTTTGCCTGATGCTTACTAGAGGGTTGCCAGTACTTACATACATTCTGGTTAACTTCAAATGAATGCTGTTACTTGGAAAGAGAAAATTACCTTCTGGATTTAGTGTTTCAGGAAATCTGATTCTTCTGGCATTGTGCTTGTAAGGGTCCTAAAATTGTTTCAGTTGCAACATTGCCAAGTCAAAACTAGTAATTCAGGACAAAATAGTTTTACTATAATTAGAAAAATACAATGAAAGTGATTTCATAATCACCATTTTCCTCACCTGGTTACTGTTGTGTAACACTGGACAGGACAATCAGTCAAGTATGAGGAAGTGGTCTGGGGTGGCATTGCTGCTGAGGAATCCATGTGAAACCTCTATGGACTAGCTACAAATACCACCTAGGGCAGCCTTCACAAAGAGTCAGGTTGTTATGGGGTGGGCTTTAACCCTCCTTTCTCTGTGGCTTGGCTCATGCTTCCCAAGTTAGATATTGCTGCAGCCTAAGGGAACCTTTTCTTTGATGTCGAGATTTTGCTAGGACACTTAATAATGTGCTGAGCCTCAGCAGCCTTCCAACCACCTTTCTCCCTCCAGTTTTTCATTCTCTCTCTTGCACCAGGAGTCCCCAGACAGGACGATGTCCTGGGTTCAGCAGTAGCAGTCATTTTTTGCCTTAGTAGCTGGTGCAGTGCTGTGTTTTTGACTTTCAGCCTAGGAACAACGCTGATAAAACCGATGTTTTTAGTTGTTGCTCAGTAATGTTTACTCTGACCAAGGACTTTCTGAGTCTCATGCTCTGCCAGGGAGGAGGGGAAGCCAGGAGGAAGCAGAGACAGGACATCTGACCCAAACTAGCCAAAGAGGTATTCCATACGACAGCATGTCATGCCCTTTATAGAAACTGGGGGGAGTTACCTGGAAGGCCCACATTGCTTCTTGGGTCGGGCTGGGTATCGGTTGGTGGGTGGTGAGCGGTTGATGCGCTGGCCATGCTCTTTCTAATGCAGTCTGCTGTTACTTTGGCCACTGTTGAAGATTTTCACTTAGTTTATTTTACCTCTCACACCTGAAAAAATTGGGTTATGTTGCAAATAATTTTGAACACGTGTCTAAACTGATGCAGGTCCAAAACCAAGAGACAGCTAAATTCTGCTTAGAATAGAAGTGTTAATGAAGTATCAAAAGAAGCATGCCCAGAAGGACAAAGGAGGTGATCCTGCCCCTCTACTCCGCTCTCATGAGACCTCACTTGAAGTACTGTTTACAGTTCTGGTGTCCTCAACATCAGAAGGACATGGAGCTGTTAGAGCAAGTCCAAAGCAGGCCACGAGGATGATCAGGGGGCTGGAGCGCCTCCTGTATGAGAAAGTTGGGGCTGTTCAGCCTGGAGAAGAGAAGGCTGCATGGAGACCTCAGAGCTATGAATGAGCTAATTAATAGTCCCTCCCCAGCATCCTTATAGACCCCCTTCAGATACTGGAAGGTTGCTATGAGGTCTCCATACAGCCTTCTCTTCTCCAGGCTGAACAGCCCCAACTTTCTCAGTCTGCCTTCATATGGGAGGTGCTCCAGTCCCCTGATCATCCTCATGGCCCTCCTCTGGACTTGTTCCAACTGTTCCATGTCCTTCTTATGTAGAGGACACCAAATGCTATGTTACATTTTATATCTAGATTTCTGAAATAAATAAAATAAATACAAAGTTGGGTACTACATACTGAATAAAAAAACAGTTCTCAGGCAGCCCTCAGTCTGAAGTAAAGGATAAAATCCTCTAAAGTCAGTAAGCTCTTTCAGGCTTTTGATAATCCCAGTGGATTAAAAAAGACTGATGATGATGATAATGATACCTGACAAAGCAAACATGGTCTAGGACAAACCTGAACAAAGCTGGGTAAAACTAGCAAATACTGGGCAACTATATCAGCTGTGTAACAGAGGTAAAAGGGCAGCAGATACAGCTGTGAGCATGATCCTGGGAATATCACTGTCGGGCAAAGTACAAATATAGAGCTTGTCAGAATGGAAGATTTCTGAGAAGGGGAACAGCCTCCTATCTTTATCTCTCTTTTTTCCATGAGGTATACAGGGAGATGGAATAGTATGTAAACAGATGACAGAACACTGAGATCAAGGCTGACTCTCCTCACCTTATTTCTCACAGGGGCAAAAATGACCTTACAAGACCATAAACTTTGACCAGCAAGATGACCAAATATGTTACGATGTTTTTCTCTCTACTGTGGGAATTCAAGGCCTTTTCTTCCATCCTCACCATTGAAAACCAGAAGTATCTAAAATGGAATGTAATTGAGTTTACTCAGTGTAAACCAGAAGTGAGATCAGAGTCAGAAAATGCCTTCCTGTGATTTTCCAAAGTCATACAGCTAGCAGAAGTAGGTTCAGGAGCAAAACCCACTTGATCCTGAGCTGTTTTCTGTAATAAAATCAAAGACCATTTCTGAGGGAACTGAAAATGGACATGGTGTCTAAAAAGTAAGCGATGAGGAAGTATGTACTTGGAGGAGAAAAAGTGAAAACAGGTCTGAACAGAAGTGAAGTTTTCTATTGATAAGAGAAGAAATGCTACAGCAAGTTTACAAATAGCATTAGGATTACCTCTGTTTAAAAAATGTATGTAACTTTTCATCAAGCATCCCTACGTCACAAAATGGTTCATGCTATATTTGCAAGGATGTGGTTGTGTCCCTCTCTGGTTCTGAGAGTCTGTATATACAAAGTAAAATAAAGTACTCAAACAGAAACTGACTAAACAAGGGAACTTCAGGTACTCCGTGGTTTTAATAACACTGGATGTGATCAAGGGTCTTCTCCATATGAAAGAAAATGTTTCCTACAGAGTTCTTATAGGAAACACTCCACAGGTACACCTATGCCCTGATTATATCTTCTGTGTTCATGCCTTTGTTTCTATATTCTCATGCTCAGCAGTGAGTGCAATTATGAACGCATGTCACTTGTTTAAACAAATGCTTTGTTTGGCAACCTTTGTTTCCTGCTGCTGATGCAGCTGCAAAATTGTGTGCACAGTGTGTTAATTTTTTACCTTTGATACTATGGTAAGGGGTTTCTTTCCTAACAAAAAAAAAAAAAGAAAACCAATGAACGAGATACCAATCTCTTCTGATCCACACAGAATGTGAAGGCAGCACTTCCTTAGGAAACAGCAGTAAATGAATGCTGATACAATGGTAAAATAAGCTAGATATTTCCTGGAACAAAATGATTCTTCATAACATGACATAGAAAAGTTAGCATATACATAA